ACTTTTAGAATTAAATTATTATATTTTTAATATTTGAGGATTAATCTTGTAAATATTTTATTCTCACATGAAGAATTTAGGGGCTACAATCTCCAACCCTTTAAATTTTTTTTAATTTACTATTTTTTTTAATTTTTAAACTTTTAGAATTAAATTATTATATTTTTAATATTTGAGGATTAATTTTGTAAATATTTTATTTTTATTTTAATGGAGAGTTAATGGATTCCATTAATTTAAATATTAAAATCTTCGTACCTTTATATTTGAGGGTTAAAAGTTCTATAATATAAAGTGAGGGGTTAAACCTTTTAAATTTATTAAGGTAAGGGATAAATGCATACTTTAGCTCCTCCATCATATAATAATTTTAATTTTTTAATTTTTTAAATTAAAGATTTGAGAATCATTTATATATTTATTAATGTTACCTCTAAGAAAAAAATTAAAAAATAAAGTAAAATATTTTATAATATGATAATTAATCAAAATAAATAAACAACAATAAGGTTAAAATAGAGAAAAAAATATTTGTCTACCTTAAAATATAAAAAAGATTACCATTAATTTGGGATAAATTTAAAGTAAAAGAACAATAATTAATTTGAGATAAATAGAGTAAATTTTGTATGACGTGGCAAACCTTGGCCTAATAATACTAATTTGATTAATAAAAATATTACATGTCAAAAAGAATTTAAAAAATAAAAACATAAAAAAAAACCTTTTAAAAAGTGTTTTTCAATTAGACTATATATATTAAAAATGTAATATTAATACTAAAATTATTAAAATATTTTTAATAAAACTCTTTTTTATATTTATTTATTATTAATAATTTAAAATTTTCAATATCAAAACTACACTTTTACCGTATAATTTAAATTAAAATATACGAAATTCAAAAAACTTACATTATTTTTTTTAAAATATAGGCATTTTCTCTCTCCTCTCCATTCCTTTCTCCGTGGTCTTCTCTTTCCATTTCTCTCCTTCATCCCAGTCGCTATAATCCGCAAAACTCCACCAAAATACTTGTTTTAAGCACTCAAACTTATCCTAAATTTTTAATTAAACTCTTCAATTTTTATTAAAACAAACAAGTCATTAAATTTGACAATCTAAACAAGTCTTTTCTTTATAACTTTATTTACGTAAGTAAGATATAAATAAGTATTAAGTTTGTTAAAAAAAAAATTATTGAAATTATTAAGTTTACGGATTTATTTACTTTAATAAAAGTTTAAAAATTTAATCAAGAATTTAAAATAAATTTAAAGACATAAGTTAGAGTTTTGCCTAAATTTGTTTTGACATACTTGGATTGGAGCCTTGGAAGGCCTTTCAAGCAAACATGACTTAAACGTGTGTTAAACTCAATTATTGAAATTAGTAACTCAAAGAAGTACAAAAAGTTATATAGAAAGATTATTTCCAATCATTCAAATCCTGTTGATTCCTATGAAACAACAAATCAAGCTAGGAAAGGTTTAAAAAAAAAAAAAAACACAGAGAGAGAAAGGGAGACTTGTTGATTCAACAATATTTTCTTAGCAACTTAATTACCAGCTACAATATAATGGTAATCCAACCAAATCTAAAATTTCAAAGAAATAAGTAATTTACTTTTAAAAGTAAATTTGATATTTATTAAAATTATCTACTTTAACATTCATTGTGATAATTTGGTACATATGTTATTAATAAACTAGCCACATATAAAAGTGAGCCCAAAGTTAGCCACAACACAGAAAGAGTCAATGGAGAAAGAAGTAAAATCATGACGTTAAGAGTTAAATTTGGAATTAATTCATTTAACCAAAAAGTAAAAAAAGGATGATTTTATCCAACAAGAAAGTAGGAGACACGATTTACAACAGGAAATGGTCCAGGGATTGATTTCAATAATAACGAAAAGTACAAGGGCTTAATATTTGAATTGTAGCTCACGCATTATCAAGCTTTTTGGAAAATTTGCACCTTTGCTAATGAAGACAAATTTTGACTTGGATTGAGGTTGAAGAGGCAATTGTGTGATCCAGTTAATTCAATCCTTTTGGCATTTTTTCATGATGTTAGAAGAAATCTCAAATTTCTGGCGCAAATTAAGTTAAACTGTTATATTGATTGCTAATTTTAAATCACCATCATGCTCTAGATTTTTTCCTTTTTCATTTTCACCGTGCTCTAGGTGTTATCAGACAGCGAAATTGGACTATAGATGTGGTTGGTTATATTTTACTCCATTGGTTCCCGAATCCTAAAACAACTGTAATTTTTTTTTTTTAATTTGCTTTAAATTAATTGTTATATTTTTATTTTTTAAAAAAGATAATTTTTTTTTTTCATATGGTAAACTCTATTGTTATCAATTTATTCTAATTAATTATCTTATCACAAAATATCTCTATTTATCTTTCATCTCTTTTTTTATGAGATCTTTTAACTATTTTTAAGGCTATTGTAAATAAATAATAGTATATAAGTTATTTTTAAACCTTTAATTTAGGAAAAAAATTAAAAAACTACAATTATTTTGAAATAGAGTAAATAACTAATACAACTTGGAAATAGGTTTATGAAGGCCCATGGAAAATTGGATCTAAATAGACTCATGTAAAGTACATAAAAATTGGGTCGTTGGTATCAAACACAAACATGTTAAGACCCATTTAAGAAGAAAAGGGACTAAAAGATGAGATTACTACATTAAATACACTAATGGCGTGTTTGGTATGGAAAGAAACTTTCTCCTTTACTTAGAAAAGTTTAGAGACATTTTAAACTTATTACACCTCAATATTTCAATAAATAAAGAGCAAAATTAGCATTTTTAATAAACAATTGTTTGTTCTCATGTTTTTTAAAGGGAAAATCTTTTCTCAAACTTTTCTAATATGAGATTCATTTAACAATTTTCTTCCAACTTTCTCATATGAACTTCTTATCAAACATGAAAAATTTAATAACCTAATAAAATTTGAATAAAATTTTATTACAAAATATATTAACTTTTCTTATAATAATTTATAACTTTCTCTACAATATTTTCTCTATAAAGTTAGTAAGGGTAAGTATTTTCAAATACAAATCGGGTATGAGATATCTTCGATACTTGATTTGAAAATCTTTGGGTATAGTTTTTTAAACTTGGTACTTACCCAAATACTTGAAGACCTACACTTGGTATTTAACCCAACATATACCAAGTAATTTGCATATTTATATTTAGGTACTTGTTAAATGAAATGTTGCTTTAATTTTTTTTTTTCAAATTAAAATTTAATCAAATATTTTTTACTTTTAATCTAAACTCAAATAAAACTTAATAAAATATTATTTATTATAATCTGAACTTAAATATAATCTAAAATAACAATAGAGAACTAAAATTTAGTTTCATATTAAGAACTCAAATCTACATACCATTAAAAAACTAAACTCAATTAAATAATTAACAATAAAGAATAAAAAATATGTACCAAAAAATAAAAAATGAAAATAAATTAAATAACACAATGAAAGTCATTTAAAAAGATATCCAAGTTTTTAGGTTCATAGTCTCCCTAATCCTTTGTTTCAATTAGTTAGAAAGGGATAGTGATTGATGGTATTGTATTTATTTTAACATCTTGATATCCATCCTTTTGACTTACAATTCTTATCATGTTAAATTTAGGGATTAAAGTTAAAAAATATCTATATAATAAACAAAGACTATGGTTTGAAAATTACTAATGAAAAAGTAAAAGAAATACTACAAAAAAAAAATCAAAATTTGAAATTATAAGTACTCATTGTTGGTTAAGAGTGCATGGAAGGAAAACAAGTTATTAGTTGTATGTGTAATATGTGTTTGGTTTAGAGTTTGTTATTTATAGGTTGTTATTTATAGGTTGCGTGTATGATTTCTTTTTCTTTTTTTTTTTTAATTTTTAAAAATTATTGTTATATATAGATATTAAGTATAATAAGTATAAGAAGTATATATAAAATATCAATTATGTAAGTATTTATAATATATCAGTTAAATAAAACGGTTAAATAGGTCGAATAAACAATTATGAACCCTTATATTTGTTATTTCACTTGATACTTACATATATATTATTTTCATACCTATTACTTAATTTTTTTACAATTCAAATAAGATACTTATCTAAATAGGTAAAATACTTATAAATATCATATATATCCCGTATCCAATACTCACCCCTAGTCTCTACCCAATCGGGCCCTTACGTCACAGGTTGGTCCTTTGACTACCTATATTTGGTGCAAGCTCTCTCCTTAACGGATGTGGCCCATTGTGGGATTGTAGCCCAGCTCTAACTCTTCAAGAAATGGGTGAGGAAGAAAGAAATTGGATCATAACCGTCGGCCCGGCACCTGCCGAGATGGGTATAAAAATAAAATACCCTCGGCCCGTTGTGTTTGAACTTTCCGTGGGCTCGTTGTTTTCAAGCCCATTTTGTAATAATTAATAAATCATTTGCAAATTGCAATATTCATTTGAGTGTGATTAATTTTTTATTGGCCCAATTAGTGTGCTTAATTGTTGCTAACGTTTATCTTATATAAAAAAAGAAGTATTGCCAACGTTTTCTCATCTCATTCTCAATTATTTATTTATTTATTTAAAATTAAAAACAGCTATCTATTATTCATTTACATACCTCAACCTTAAAAAAAAGGCTTGAGTCTCTAGTGGGTATTTGGGAGATTATTCCCTTGCATAACTCATTATATGTGTGAAACAAAACTTCTTTTCTTTGAGATTGGAAGCATACGAATTGAAACTCATCTCACTAAAATGAGAAAGACGTAATTTATTAATTAAGTTACAAGCTCATGTGCTTTATAAGATTGGTTTGGATCAAAACTTTGTATTTATCTAATTAGGAGAAAATTATAAGAAAGTTTAGTACAGCACTCATAATGAAAAGTCATGAATAAGTTGTGAAAGTACGGTCTAAACAAATCTTATGAAATTGAGAGTTTTTTCCCAATAAAATTTAATTGCATAAAGCCTCGCAGTTTTGAATCTTTTGATGCTTTAACATTTCAAGTATTTTTTGGCCGTGACTTCCAAGCAACAAGGCCCTTAACAAAGAAAGAATGAGCATTTTATTGTGGCTAACGGAAATAAATATGTTAGACATCATCAAGAACATTACATGACATGTCCCTAAATTATTCACAGTAGATTACTTTATGAAATCAAAACCTCCTCCTCAATTGGTCATTTCCAATCCCCTCCATCACAAGGAGAGCAACCTTCCTGTGCAATATCAGTGATCTGAACTCCCGTATCATACACTACCCCCGCTTTCCAGTCCGCCGGTAGCACACTCTTTGCCCAAATCCACTTCCCATCATACCCAGATGTTACCACAAATCTGAACTGCAATGCCCCTTCTGGGACCCTGCTTGTGTCCCACACCGCGCCGTAGTTTCGGCTCATGAAACTCCAGTTTGAAGAACCAACTTGTGCCACATCCAAGCCTACTATTTCTGTTTGGCCTCCTTGGTACAGCAACTTAATTGCTAAGTAATTTGGCTTTTGGCTAGATTCTTCAACCCTCACTGCCAAATTCTGGCTGTATTCACAAGGTACCCTGAACATATAATCAAGTCAATTGATACTGATATGATTGCAACTGAACAATTAGTAGCGCTGGACAGATAAATGTGAATGTACGAATGTGACTACTTGCACACATAGAAAAAGATTTTAATGAACATGAGTTCAACAAAATAAAAAGATTTTAATGAACATATTGGGCTGTTAATGTCATTAATGTCCCTGCAGATTTGACCCCAAATGTTTTGAATTATTTAGTAGGGTGTAACAGAACCATAAGATTATAAAGAAACAAAAAGAAAAGATTGGATTGGATTCTTTATTATTTTGTCCGTGTGAGTGCAATTAAATATTTAGTATCTGCATACCTCTTGTACTCCACGTCCACAATTCCGCGTTTCAAAATTTCTTTGTCTAAGCCACTGTTAGCCATGGCCCTGAAAGCTCTGCTGCTGAGAACAAAGTCTGTTTGGTTGTTGTGATTGAGATCAGTCAGAATCACTCTAGTCCCTTTGCTTCTACACATAGTTGTGTTTTTACATCTTATCTGCGCAAAACATACTCAAAATCACATATCAAATATATCAAGAATATCAATATCAGGATGCTGGCTCCTTGGAATAGGGTACAATTTAATGGTTAGAGCAACTTTAACGTGAATGTTGGGAGTTCAATGGTAGGACATTATTATGTATCCCAGGATCAAATATATCAAAAGAGAAGAAAATTAAGATGGTATTATAGAAACCTGAAAGCATGCACCACAACCAGCTCCATCTTTGAAAAGGGATGGAACCCCAGCTGCCAGGTGTCCACCATTGAAGCCTATAGCTAATGAACCATACCCACAAGCCCCAGCTGCAACGAATGAAGAAAACAAATCATACCCACTAAAATTATCACAGAAACATCATCTGGGTCTGTGCCAATTTCGTTTTTTGACAACGAACCCAACTGGGTGTGATCAATCAAAGAACAAGAAAACCAAACAAACAAAGAAGAAGGGAGGAACCGCGAAAATTACATGAAAGAGCAGAGGCTTGGGAAAAATAAGCAGCCTTTGATTGGTGCACACAACGATCACAAGCAGTGGCAGAGGAAACGAGAAAGAAGAAGACGAAGCAAACAAACATAGCCATTTTATGAGGAAAAATATCAGATATGTGATGAGCAAAGAAACAGAGGTGGTATCGAGCTATATATAGAGAGAGTTTGCCATTGTTTTTAGTGTGGATCACAGGTCAGCATGCTCCAGTGATGTGAAAATGAAAAAAACAAGGAACGAAATTAATTGAATTTGATTAAAGCAGCAATGGTTTGGGTGTGATTTTATATGAATTGTAGTGATTCGGAGATAGTATGTGCGTGTGGGGGAAAGGGTGGAAAGGAAGGAAAGAGACAGCCACTTGCGTAAACGCGGAGGAAATAGAACAGAACAGCGAACAACAATTGGAAGGATTTTCACCGACTCAAACGGCTGTGAGAACATGAAGACTTGCGGGTTATGTCAGTCTGGCTTAAAACGGCTGGGAGCAATTTAGGGAAGTTTCTTCTTAGTTCCCACTCCCCTGTTTTTTTACAGTCCGGTCTAAGCCTGTTCGCTCTAATCGTGGTTAAACAAAACTTTTTTTTTCTTCCTGTTCATAAGTGATATACTTCCCATACAACTAGGATTATAAGTTTAAGGAAAAGTGTTTTGTAATTTGTTTTTGCATCAACCGTAAAACTATCAACCTCATGATTGATAGGTTTTTACGGGTCTAGTGACAAATTTCACTAATTTTGGGTTTGGAGTCATTGCAATTTGTGCAATACGATCCGTGGAAAGTATTATAAGTCTAGATAATATAGTATATTAAACAAAACCGCATAGACTCCGAATAAAAATGGTTCATAAATAATAATACCTCCTGATTATGACATTGAAAACCTAATATTTTTGTTTTTACTTTACTTTTAGAAGCAAACCCTATGTAAAATTTTGAAGTTGAGCTTTTTGGAACGAAACTTTTAATTATTTTTTACTTTTTTATCAAATCCAAAATTATACACTCTATCTATTAATTTTAGTAAATTTAATTTTTAATTTAAAAAGTTAAATTTAATTGTACATTTTTTTAATAAAATTTCATTTAATATATTTACTCTTATTTTATCTTTATTTTAAAAGGATAATTACAATATCTTCATTTAACTTTAGTAAGCATAATTTTTAATTTAAAATATTCGAATTTAATTTTTCACCCCTCTTTTTTCAAGATGTTATGTGCTTATTTTTATTTTACCTTTATTTTAAAAAGAATAATTACTACTACATATCTTAAATAAAAAATTTATTTAAGTAGTAATTAATTAAAGATAAAAGATAAAATTTTATGAATTGATTATTACATTTTTACTTTATTTGACAAAAAAAATTATAGGCAAGTTGAATGGAGAGAGTATACTAAGGTTTAATTTGATAAAACTAATATGTAATTGTAGTTATAAGTTTTTTTTATCGTTTAACATTCTAAAAGTATATAAGCAAAATATATTTTACATATTTAATATTTATTTTAATTAATATTTTATATATTTTTAAAATAATAAAAAATATAAAAAGTAAAACTTAAAACACTAAAAAGTGTTATTAAATGAAATCTAAATAAGAAGACTTTATTAAGTAATAATTAATTAGAGATAAATATAAAATTTTATCAATTAATTATCATATTACTATTTTATTAGGTAAAAAAATTAACCTTATTATAATTGAATGAAGAGAAAGCAAATTATTAAAAAAAAAGAGATAATTATCAATTAAATCTCTACAAAATTGAAAAAGATACCCAAAATTATATTAATCATTCGTTAATTTTTAAAATATCTAACTGCAAACACTACTTTCTTTATTAAAACTTTTAATTGATATTTTTACAGATGCCTTAGAATAGAGTTTTTAAATAGAGCTTTTCCAATCACATTAACCAAGATTGAACCTCTATATAAGGATGGTAAACCAAGCAGGAGGAGGCGGTTACCAAGTCTTATAGTCTTTCTTTATTAGATTTAAGCCCCTTTG